TCCACGAAGACATCCGTCCTGGTTTGTTGTTGTTTTGCGATTGGTTTGGGCTCCGGCCAGAGGTACGATGATTATTTTAGGGCTACCTAAGGATGACCAGATACTTATTATAATTGTAATGATCATAGAGGTGCTCTGAAACTATTTATTGCCACGGTCTATTAGAAGCGATTGTTTCTGTTTAGCCTTGGGCATAAGCGTTCGAAAGCATCATTGTTCGGTTCGCTATCAAGACTTGGTCTCCACACACATGCAAAATGCTGCTGAACAACGTCGAAGCATCAATGGGCTGACAATGAACCTGGAGTTTGGGGCTTGGGCGGTCAGGGTCCAAACTGCAGGGTTCGGGGTGCACCATGTCAGGTTTAAACCCAGTTACAGACTACGATCCTTTTGAGAGGCGGCTATGTGCAGTTGCATTTCTGAAAGCGCGGACATGACCTCTTGGCTGCCGAACATACCCAACACATCCTTCCTTCAGGATGCCTACATGAGCCCACCTGACCCCGAAACATTGTTTGTCTGGCCTCCAGTTGGGGTGGCAGGGGCAATTTTGTACTTATGCTCCCTACAAGGCACATAATAGCCTGATTATCCCCATTGTTAACGTGGATACTAGGTCCCCTGACCCTCCAAGCAGAAGTACAGTAGCCCTTGGAGAACTCTGAACACTACAATGGGCTGCTGTACACGGAATTTACATTGAGCTAAGGCTCTGTCTAGAGGGTATACAGGGGTTACACAGGGTTTAGGGTACCAAGGAAAGAACACGGAAAAAGAACCGGACAACTGAAGTTATCAAGAGTGGAAAGAAATTCAGCTTAAGTCACCAAGATCAGGAAACTTTCTTATCTACCATATAGCTAACGGCAACGTTCCCTAACAGCAACCCAATTTGCTCAAGGCTGATTTAGGAACTTCGTAGGTGATGTGAAGGTGATGTCGCCACCACTTCCACCCATGGCAGCGTCTGTGATTCCCTTGGAGATGTAGAACCTAGGTAAGGTTTCTGGTTTCGGGTAAAGGGTTCGCGCACTAAGTTTTTCAAGGACCCTGTCGAACCTAGGGATCTTCTGATGTGCCTTTTCCATTCAGGCTAATGGGCTTGGCCTACCTAAATCTACAGGGTGTAGCATCCCTTCTTACCACTATTCCTTCCAACTCCTAAACCCTAAGCCCTGAATCCTAATAACAACCCAAGGAACAGAAGGCCACCCTCTCCAGTGATGGCACCGAGGATGACCTGAGGAAGAAGCTCAAACCACCTTCCGTACTGTCTCTTCTTGGTTTCAACGCATGCAATTGAGGCCACCATTTGGGGTGAGGTCAAGTGAGGTCATTATGATTCGTTCAGACTTTCTTCACAGCCGACACTCACTACAAGTACGAAGAGCTTCGGGAATGCACGACTCCTACAGGGGTGTTACAAACAAGCTCACTGTAAGCCCAAGCTTCCGCCAAGATGGATGCTACATGCCCCAAGACAAATAAGCTGCACACTACGGCTAATGCGCTAAGACCGAGACCCTAAACCGGCGTCAGAATAGAATGCATCTTCAAACTGATTCAAGCTGAAAAGCCTCCTCCGGCAACAGGACAGCGACGCTAAGCCTCAGACGAACCGGCAGAAGCAGCACAAGCATGCCTACACCTCCACGCTGAGCATTGATAGCCGGCAATAATGACTAGCGTCATATTCTTATTCATGACGGTTACTATCGATAAAGTTACACATGGTTACTACTACTACGACGACGACGAAGAAGAGTAACCTGAACATCCATGCAGCTCCACAGAACGATGGACAAATCCTGCATGGCGCTTTGCGTACTACACTACCATCATTGCTAGGCACATAAAGTCATGAAGGGCGTTATCCATCAGCACTATGGCCCTGAACTGCATGCCCAAAACCCTGTAAGCCCGGAGTTTGCATTTCAGTGTCAATTTGTTTTCCCTTTAAGTTCCCAGTGCTGAGTCACATGTTGAACATGTCGTGAACGGTCGCCCCACTGAAGGCCCGCTCAAGCTCGATGCGCTCGCCGGCATGCGCCATGGACACCTTGTAGCCCCAACAGACGCGGCAGCAAACATGTAGGCACTTATGTGCAAACACAAGGTTCCCTTTTGTTGGCTGACAAACCTTCATTATCGGAACCCCACTAGGGGGTGCCATTGTTTGGAAACACCCATAGCGCAACTCTGAGGCAGCAACAATGGTGTTCGTGACGGATGTTCCCATGTTCGCCTTGGCTCTCGAATGAAGGACTTAGGCTTCGGAATTCAGCGTTGGGGGCCCCAATCCCAAGCAAGGAGCTCAAGATTGGCGCGAGCCTTGAAACTTCAGAATGCTCTGTCGAACCCAGTTTTAAAGGGGATTTAGGGGGGACCCAGAATTGGATTACAAGTACAGGTTTATTGGGGTGATGGCCAACCTTAACCTCAAAAAGAATTTGAAAAGGGGTTTCTCCATCCGAAATCCCAGCTGCGCCCATGATAATCGGGATCGCATTGCCGACGCTCACCTGCTGCGCAATGCTTCTGGGTTCTCCTACCAACCCCAACTATGCTACCCCCATCAAGGTGCCTCCTTAATCAGGGATACGTCTGGATAATTGAATCCAAATAAGGCTAGTTAAGGCAGAATGGAAGGGGCTTGAGCGGGAGGACTAGTAGGGGAACCCATGAAATGGGTTCCCTCAGACGACGCTTGGGCATACGTTTTTCTGGTGACAGACCCCTTTCAGTAAAAGTCACCCAGAACAACGGGTGGGGGGAAAGTTGATGTGCAGTATCCCGATTGAAGGTTTAGGGTTCAAGGTGTTGAATTCTGGGCTTCAGCACGAGGCTTTACGGTTTCGGGTTTGGAGTTTAAGGTTTGCCATTAAGGGTGGGGGGGGTTAGGCTTCAGGTATTGGTAATATCGAGCAAGGAATGGGAGCTTGCACCTGTCCAGCGCCGACCAGACCAACCACGATCGACGTACTCCTCAGCTGCACAAAATGGGCAGGGCTCGGTTTCGGTTTTTGAGGCTTACATATATGTGTCCATCAAGAAGAGGACCACAATGTAGACCCCCCAATATTCTATAATGATTGTTAGAAGTACCCGCAAAAAGGAGCCAACGTTTTTTCAAGCCCTTGCCCGTATAAGCCGCTAATTATGTAAGACCAGTCTCCATCTCATTCTTCATGATTGGCGAAACGCTGAGCCCCATGTATATGTATGTATCTCTATATGTCCCATATGAACCGCTATACAACCCTATATGTCCTTTAGAGGGCGTTCCTAATATGTCACAGGACTGATGTAGTTCTTTAATGTTCTGTACATGTTGTTGATGATGAGTTTAGGCTGCACGCCCGAAGGTAGATTTCGGGTTCGGGGTCTATAAAGGTGAAAGGACTCTGCAAGAAATGAGGAGGCTTCTAAAGGTTATGACAGGTTGCAATCATTTTCGCTGTGAACCGCACATGCTGCAACAACAGATCCTTTACATTGGTAAGGAAGGCGTCAAAGGTTAAAAGGCATTTGCTGGGATTTGGTTGAACCTCAAATGCTTGAATGGTAGAGGGTGGAATGCTACTTCTCATAGAAGAGTTTCTCCACATGAGACCTTCAGGATGGGGATTCCACAGCAGGCACATGTCTTACATAAAATTCGCATGGTTGGACAGAGATTTCCCCATCGAGGGACATCCCTATGCCCTATGCCCCAAAATGAGGCACAATGATTCTGGGGTGTTAGGGCTACAGAAGCATTCGGCTTTGGACATGTGAATGACGAATGGCGGTACTTCATCGAAGCTGCAAAATAGTGCCGTGAAGACGCCGTATGACATGGGCACAAATCCCAGAATATTCAATGGATCGAACGTATCCCTTCCCCAACTGTATCCCTGTAGCCTGTCCTTGATGACATGCCATACAGCCGGGAGGACAGTAATTTCCATAATTTTTGATTCCCTCCTACCCCTGAAAGCGCCCAACCGCCCGGGCCCTGAAGCCCAACAGCAATACTGGCTATGAGGACGCTTTGGGTACCAATGAAGCCAGGCAACACCCAAGTTTTTAACCAGGTTTACCTTATAAGCCCTCTACATTTACTACTATGGATAACACTTTCGTTTCGCAATATCATCCTCAGCTCCCATTTCATGTTCCATCTTCTTGTCCATTTGATTCTCCTTTATTGGGGTACCATCCCTCAACCCTAAACTCTGAACCCTAGCCTACCTAGCTTCAACCATGAGTCGTGGAGGAAGACTGGACCAAGACGGTCGCCAAGATGCCCACCATGAGGCCTACGGTAGGGTCTGGAGTCTAGGGCTTAGGATTTACGATTTTAGACTATATATATTCCTACAAGACCTTTGAAGGGACCCCATATAAGCCCTTAGACTTGCGTTATACTTACCGTGAACCTCCACCTAACTCAGCTCTGCCTGCCTGTGATAGGGTTGTCCGTGATCGTGAACAATTCGCCTCGAGCAATGCTGGAATGCCCAGATGGAAGTCCGAATTCAGATTTTGGGCCCCCACGGTGGTCCCATTTCATAATGCGGGGCATAGTCCATATTAAGGAAGAGGGAGCTTGACTCAGACAACGAAAAACTGCCACGAACTTGCACATCAGCATCGTGCACCCGAGCCTGCACCTTTGCCACCCAAAACCAGGAAGGAGCTACCCATCATGTCCAGACCCATCAAGAAAAGGTAGATGGATGCAAGCACGCCAATGATCCTGAGGGTCATCAAAAGGCACTGGACCAACCAGTGGTCTTCGCTATTCGTACAACTATACAAGTCTGTCCAACAAGTTGAAAGAGCGCCCTAAACCCTATACTGGTCCTCAGGGTCGTGTAGAGGATGAACTCCCCCTGGCTCTGTGTCTTTGCGGCTTCGTCGGCCATGGCTCTCGACAGAGGTCTTGGCAATCTAGAAGCTGACTGCGCTGAGATCTTGATCCGGAAACTCCCACCGCGAGGTAGCGTTTGGGATTTACCACCTAGGATTTAGAGCTTAGGCGTTTTAGGGTTCAGGGGGGCTTAGGATGCGGAAACTCCTTCCCTTTAATACTACAACCCACGCAATCTGCCCTAAGATTATTTGAATATTTCATTCAATGTTCCATTAATGTGCCTGTGAAATTATGATATTAACGGGGGGGGGGGCCATGTTAGGGGAGGGGACAAATGCTCTGAAGAGTAAAATCAAGGTACCAAACTTGGAAATGATCTGCGCGAACTATGCTACCTTAGTGCACAAGCCCAGTATAGTCCACCATGAATTATCCCAATGCGACTCCGAAACCGCAAGTTGGCAAAGATTGCCCCAGAAACCCTGTGAGTTCCGTTTCATAGCCCCTGCGAGACTCATAGCGGGGTTGGTTGGTTCGACCTAGAAAGACGATATCCTTTCAATCAGGTACTATGCCCAAAGGGAAAATGGTACTATGCCCAAAGGGAAAATGAAGTTCATGTTTACTCCGTTTGTCCCTGCTTCAAATACAACTCAAATGAGAAGGGCCAAAGATTGCCCTGGAATCCCTGTGCTCAGCTCCCTAGTCTTCGGCTCAAGTTACCATTGGTTTTTGGATTAGTGCTTCGCCAAATGCACTTGTCAGCATAAACGTCCCCAGCAACGCTGTCACCTGACGAACTTTTGACGTTCCGGCTGTGTCAAAGCATCACTACTGAGTCAACGCATCCACGCTGAGT